CCCGGCGGCCGCTTCACCCTGAAGATCCACATGCCACTGACGATGTTCGCCCCAGGTGGGGGAACCGCGTCAACGTAGGTGCCTGTGGACTTCCAGGAAGCCATCTCTGCATCCATAACTGCCTGCCACTGAGAGGAGTAGGGACCCTCTATGGCCTCCGCGTAAGAGTGCGGAGTCGGGATGTCTAGTGCATCCGGGTCTCCATCAGGGGTTATCAGTACGGACGCAAGATGAGGTAAAGCAGCAGCCAAGCACTTGAACATCTCCTGCCTGTCCTCAAGAACGTCTATGCCAAGAGGACACTCACTCCCGACGGACGGAGGACAGACAGACGCAGACTCAGCAACAAGACTAGCAGCGTAGTCTAGACGACAGCGAGTAGCAAAGTCGACGAGCTCAGCGACAAGAGTAGACGCAGCAGTGGACTCAAAGGAGGGGTAAGTGACGATAGTAGCAAGGAGACGAGTGACAGTAGGACTGGCAGCACGAAGAGAGTCTGACTCAGGGTCGGCAAGCGTAGGAAGAGAGGACTCAGGACGAGAGGGCAAAGGGGCACGCAGAGGAGCAGTGGATGGACGCAGAGACATCCGGTGCGTGCCAGGGACAGGAGGAGGACGTTGACGCGAACCGCGACCACTAGTGCGAGCAGCACGAACAGGCGACGCAGGACGAGACGCAGGCTCACGACGCTCAGCAAGACCTCTAGTAGGACCAGTGTACGGAGAAGGAGAAGGCAGTTGGGAGGCCGGCGGTAACTGTGACTGCGGCTTGACAGGCGGTGGACACTCTAAGGGAGGAGGAAGACCAAGAACCTGCTGAAGGAGCGGAACAAAATACGGCCGAGGCCGCGCGGCGACTCCAGACACAGCAGGGACAGCACCAGCACCCCCAGCGGAAGCACCAGCGTCAACAGCACCTCCAGCTCCAGTACCTCTACCAGCACCAGCAGCACCCGCAGCAGGACCGCCGTCAGGACTGAGCGCCAACACCCTCAGCAGCTTCGACTCCAGTAGCACTCGCAGGACTAGCACCTCCGAGACCGCCGGCACCAGCACCCTCAGCAGTCGAAGAAGCACCAGCTCCAGTAGTACGCCTCCAGCGCCGGGCAAACCACTCGCGCAGCTCCTGTGGAGAGAGTGGCTCTCGCCGAGACGAAGCACCTGGAGAACCACCAGGCCCAGCACCGCCAGACGCCACACGAGCAGGTTCAGCGGCCGCGCAGTCAGTTGGGTGAAGGATGATGGGATCGGCCCTTCCAATTGGTTGTCGTAGAGATACCTGTGTGAAGGAGAGGAGACAACGTGCGATGGAAAGGAGATGTGTTATTATGAATGAGGGAGGTGGAGTCCTTACAAGAGAGCTGCGGAGGACGTTGTGGTTGGAGGGGGAGGGAGGCACGTGCACGTGCTGCAACATGTTGCACTTGAAAGACTGACGACTTCTGCACACTGCACGTGTTGTTTGAGACATGATATGAGTACGCTTTTGAGCATACAAACAGACAGTACGGCGAGGCCCAGGGATACAAATGATAGAGTGAGTTTAAGGGACGAGGACATTGCAGGGGGAGGGGGAGAGCGAGGCATTCAGAAGGCATGCAAGGACTGCAGCAAAGGGTGGCTTACAGCTGATACAGGTTAGTGAGAGCGCCGATGCCATCAGGCAGGGGCCCACTGATCTGGTTGGAGTGGGCGTCGCTGCGTTGTGGGAGGGGCAAGGTATGCAAGGGGATGCAAGAAGATTTGCAGCTATGCTCCATGAGAACGGGCTGGGCCACAGCTAGCTAGTGACGAGCTGGGAGTGCCGAGACACATGGCCGGCTTGTCGCAAGCCAAAGGCTTTCAGTTTGAATTGCGGCCCGTGATGACGTGACCTGCCGCGAGTCTGTAGGCTCACAGAAACATGTGATGTGACAATAGCCGGAGACATCTCTTTGCCGACTCAATACGGAGCTGCGTGCGTGCGTGTGCGTGCGTGTGTGTGTGTGTGCGTGTGCGTGCGTGCGCGTGCGCGTGCGCGTGCGCGTGCGCGTGCGCGTGCGCGTGCGCGTGCGCGTGCGCGTGCGCGTGCGCGTGCGCGTGCGCGTGCGCGTGCGCGTGCGCGTGCGCGTGCGCGTGCGCGTGCGCGTGCGCGTGCGCGTGCGCGTGCGTGTGCGTGTGCGTGTGCGTGTGCGTGTGTGTGTGTGTGTGTGTGTGTGTGTGTGTGTGTGTGTGTGTGTGTGTGTTGCAGCAACACGGCCATACTAGCAGTTGGTTGACGGAAGGGGCATCTCAACTCACAATTCCCTTAGAGAAACGAGCTTGGAGAAGCTCGATGGGAGTGGGCCCGATAGAGAGTTGTAGTCAATATAGCTGCATGGGAAGGATTAAAAGGGAGGGGAGAGAGCAAGGGCGATAAGGGAGAGAGTGAACGCAGGGATGGGGAGGTGTTTTGATTTCCTATCCTAGCTTCTTAAAGTTGTTCAGCTTTTGGAAGTCCTTGAGATGGGGCGATTTTAGGGCGATTCAAGCTGCACCAAGGCAAAGACGACATGGGCAATCGAAGTGCCCTCACTCGAATTGCCAACTCGACTCCAATTTCTGGTCGGGCAACTCTCTCTCTTGATCCATGAAAGATTGACTGTCATCAAGTCCTATAGCTGATTCACTTGAGTCAGGAGAGCTATGGGCACGGAGAGTAGAGAGTAATACCTGCCATGTTTGGCTTGCCTCA